TGTTGATATTTTTTAGCATTGAAGTTTTAGTGAACAAAACAAACGCAAAATTCCGGATATTTATGACGACCACTGTATTTGCTATTATTATTATTTTGCTATTATTATCATTACAAGCTCCGTTTAAACATTGTTATACTTACCGTACATTCTATTACGGCAGTGTGAGAATCTGCGATTATCAACTAATAATAAAGCATAAACTATTGTTTAGTATAACACATGACAGAATATTGTTTCCGTAAACAATGACAATGGTATAAATGTAACAGAACATATACAGTAGAAATTTTTTACTGGTTAACAAAACATAAATTTATAATTTACAAAGAGATAGCAACCAATTAACAAGTCATAATCGTCACGGGCAGCTAGGGAGTAATTTACTACCCATATGCCACGCGTATAATTTTAATTAAACTGACCTCATCTGAAAATAAGCACGCTTTTAACTATAGAGGGTTTGTCTTTAGAGGTTAAAACTTGTGTATCCCATTATTTCGTAAATAACAATGTTCAGGTTTGTCGATTATTACGTAGACGCGATACGGTATTACACTAATATATACACACCTCCCTAAAGCGCGTCATCCCAATCTTGTAAAACGCTCTCCCCACAACGACACAATGAGCCTTGGGTCTTCACTGCCACAGACGAATCCACGACAAGCTTGCAACAAACTTTGGCAAACAACAAACGAACAAAATTTTGCGTCTTTCCTTAATGAAATCATTGCCTTAGAAGTAAACAAGCCATACACTACCGCCGCATAGAAGGCAGTTTATAATACACTATACAATGGAGAATTACGGCCGATAAAAGATCGGGAGACAAGGTTACTATTTTGAGTGTATTTATTGACTGTTTATACTTCGATAACTTTCTATAGCAAGCAGTTTTTTTAAACAAATTATGGAAACATGAAACGACCAACTAATTACTATAACATTTATTATATACATAGCATTATACACCTTGACTCACTTCGATTATGAAAGCTGCCAGCTGGTTTAAAAATCAAATTAAAATTTCTTGGCTTTGAGATGATGCCATCTTGTAAATATATTCATAAATAATTTATATATTTAGCTAATCTTATTTCAAAACATCCACCAATTATTATAATATCTCATTCGTGCTATTCAGCAGTCGGTTGCTCTTCGACCGCGAGAAGCCCACCGACTGGCTTCTTAATCAAGACAACCAATGATATTAATGTGGGGCGGGGATTGCTGTAATATATTTATAAAATATTTAATACGTCCACCGATTTTTTGTAGCAACCACTCACTCTTATTATATGTCTCATTTATGCTACTCAACAGATAAATAACGGTTCTGACTCGCCAAACAAAAATGGGACTTGGTGACTAACAAGGACGGGAGGGTGAGAAGGATGGAGGAGATAGGCGAGATTTGAGCAGTGTGGACATAAATAAATATTAACTCTTTCCTTAATTCTTTGCCGGTTGGAGGCCAACACAAACTTTCTTATACCTCAATATTAATATATCGATGTTCTGACCTAAATCGCAATCTAATCCAATTCACATTCTCTAATATGACCCCAATAAGTGACATCTAGTCAAGATTATGTACGTGATGCTATCAAATAAATGTGCTTATTTCCAACTAGGTCGGATTGCAATTTGGGTCGATCATAATAAAAGTTCTTACATCAAGATCATTTGAACTTGTTCTTCATTTCCTAAAGATTCAAATTTAAACACCTGTTGGTACGTCCAGCTCCACATTCTAGGAAACTATAGAGTCGTTATACATAAGTGTATTATACAATTTATTTTGCTTCTTCTTTTGCATCTTCAAGATAAGTAAGCTTCTGTTGTCTCTTGCGATGAATCTTCAATACTCAGTCAGAACTTGATTGAACGTGGCTGCAGATCTATTTTACCACCGCGATAAATACCGCGTTTCTTTTTTGTCTTTTGTGTCCGGAAATCCTTACCGCGTTTCGTATATAGGTCACGATACGCGCGCTGGCCATACTCGCTTATTTGATCCTCCTAAAAAACGACAGAAGAACAGTAAATGGTCTATTACCAAAAAATCCAAGAGACTCAATCGCATATGATCTTTACCAGTCTGACTTTCTTTTGGTTTCTCCATGTATCATTTTCATAATCACTCTTGCCGATCGTCGATGGAGTTGCGCAATTGTCCATATTCCGTTTTGTTGGGCTATAACAATAAACAAGTAAATAGACAATCTTACAATCAAACACAATTACATTTGAATCCTATAAAAAATTGTGTTGTCAATAGAAAAGGCCTCACGTGGTATAGACAGATCCATTTTCTTTGACAGTGGGCGTGTGAGGCGAGGAAAATGTATCGATTACGTCATTATCCGTGTTGTCTACTTTCAACTCGTTCTTGATTCCGTCACGAGTAGAATCCTTGAGAGTCTTATCATCACTATCATTGTCATTCTCGTTTGAACTTTCACTATCACTTTCACTGTCACTCCCACTTCCACTGTCACTGTCATTCTCACTTTCACTTTCACTATCGCTCTCACGTTCACCACCGCTCTCATTTTCACTGTCACTCTCACTATTACTTTCATTGTCACTGTCACTGTCACTTTCACTTTCACTGTCACTGTTATTATCACTTTCGTCTCCTATACTTTTACCCTTCTTATTCTGTCCATTGATGTGTATCTCTTTCGACGTATCTTTCTCTTCATCTTCAGACTCTTCATCACTAGATTCGCTTGACTGTGTTTTTATGGGTTTAGATATTGCAGTCTTCCCCTCACTCTCGGATTCTTCGTCACTTGACTCATTTGATGCACTTGACTCCTCTACTTGCATATGCGTAATACTAGTCTTGTCTTCATTAGACTGTTCTGGCTTTCTTGACAACAAACTTTCGTTCTCGTTTTCATTCTCGCTCTCGTTCTCATCTCTGTTTTTGCTACTCTCAGCTGAAGAAGTGGGAACACAAGTTAGTATTCAGGTTGAGTCGTCCATAATTAATCAAAACATTGAGCATTCTTCCGATAATGATAAATCTGCAACGAAGATAGATAGGCGAAAATTTATTACCTGTTAAAATGCGTACTCGCACAGAATTCTTTTCTAACTTCTGTAGTTTTTCTAAATGTGTTGTTACTAGTCCCCACCGAAAGCTTAACCGTTCTTGTAAAACATTCAAGGCATTCTCCGTATTCTTAGCCAGGTTAGCGCACAATATATTCTCAATGTCCTCTAGCTTAGTCTCTGCTTCCTTTAGCATTTTTTCCGCGTCTTTCAATTGCTGCTCAATTTCTTCTGTCATTGTAGTTCGCGTCAATTTGGATGAGCTCAAAACCAGCATATCAATATTCAATATAAAATTTTGCACGCACGTGATGTTGTATCACCGCATAATGTAATACACTAATACTGATCGAATGACGCGTAAATAGAGCTTATACCAAGAAAAAAAAATCGTAAAGAGAAATTTTTAGAATTAATTTAATGAGAGTATAACGAAGGTAAGGAGAAAAAAAAGCCTACGGTTCTATTACAAGCCGCTTGCTATTCTCCATAAGAAAATCTCAATACTTGAAAAGTTTTGTCAGAAAAACATAAAAATTTACAGATATCAAACGCTTTACTCACTAGCGTATCTCATTACTATTTTCCCCATTATTTAATAGCATGCTATGACAATGCAAATTAACAAAAGTGCTTTTTCAATCTCCAGAAATAAGACGGTTTACGTATGACGGCGATGATAAAGAGAGCGTTTTACTCTTGAATATATAATATTTATGTAGGAAGTAAATTTATAGATATTTCGCTTATAGAATAGTTATAAGTTTTCAGACTGGCAAGGTAATTCTATAAACCGAAGGACATGTTCAGGAAACTACATTTGAATTAATCGGAGAATAGCAAATAGTTTGTTATTTCGGATTTTAGACTTTTGAATGAAACAGTTTCGATCAATCGCTTACTTGGTTTATTCAAAAAAACCGTTCAACAACTAGACATGAGGGTGCCTTTCTCGATGCACCTTTGCGATATAATTGTTGGCTAACAATAACAGATTAATATCGTTGTTTCTAAATATCAGAAATAATCAAGGCTAGCCAGGCGTTTACTTGACAAATTTTAATTTATGTTTATTGGTGCGCCAGATTATAGAACATCTGCCGAGCCGCGTTTTACAAAACATATTATTTACATAACAACACTGCTTTTAGACTAAACTTTACGTAAATTTGGTTTACATGTTATGAAGTTTTAATAGTAAATGTAAAAGTTTGTTAATATTAATGCATTTTGATAGAACTAAATTGCGTGATTCAACAAACGGCTCTGCAGTGTAGCGGGTTTTTGACCTTGTAACGACCAAATTTAACACAAATATGCAAGTCATGCTTCCAAGTCGAAAAAAAAATTATCTAATATCATCTGTATGGGTGACATCTATGTAGATCAAGACACAATATGGGGCGTGCTGCAACAAAACCAGACAAAGTGAGCATGTGGGTTAAAAGCCAGTTGCGAGGGAAAAAAAATAAA